AGCTTCCCCCACCCACCCCTCCCCGCTGCAGGTTCTGGTTCCGCCTCTACTGGTTCCCGCTCAAGGTTCTGTACGCCACGTGTCACTGCAGCCTGCGCTCAGTGCCTGACATCCCCTTCTACTTCTTCTTCAATGCGCTCCTTCTGTTGCTCACCCTCATGAACCTCTACTGGTTCCTGGTGAGTCGGAGCCCCCAGCTCCTTGTCCACCGGCTGCTCCTCAGTTGGTAGTCCTGTCCTGGTCCCCCGGCCCCAAGCAGTGGTCCAGGCACAGGCCGTTCTCGGGCACACCCGGGGCGGGGCATATTCGGCAGCAGGAACGGCGGCGCGTGCGCTGGGCTGGTGGCCCCGGAGCGCGCGGCCTCTAGGAGGGCAGCAGGATCAGGGCAGAAGTGGCTTTTTCTCACCGGTACCTCCCCCTCCCACAGTACATCGTGGCCTTTGCTGCCAAGGTGCTGACGGGCCAGGTACGCGAACTGAAGGACGTCCGGGAATACGACGCGGCAGAGGCCCAGAGCCCCAAGGCCAGCAAAGCTGAGTGAGTGTGGAGGGGCCGCCGCCCCAGTTCATTCCTTTAGCCACGTCTGTCCGGCCCCGCGCTCTGTGGGCCGGCCCCGGAGACAAGGCAGCGGATGATGTCGCCACGCCACGGACGCTGCATCCAAAAGAGCCTGCATCCAAAAGAGACTGTAATAAAGGCATGGATGATGTAGCAACAGAGTTAGATGCTGTAAGAACAGACAGGAAGTGCGTAGACAGGTGTGGGGGTGGGGGCGGACTGGCGAAAGGCAAGAATCGGGGTAGGAGCGGTGAGGCCAAGCTGAGGAGCTGGTCCAGTGGGTGAGCAACCATTAGCCAGGCCAGAGAGTGACCTCTAAGCAGGTGGCAGTGGAGGTGGGGATGCGGGGGTGCCATGGTGGCCCAGAGAGCCCCCACTCTGTCCATGTTGACTCTTCCCGGCCTTGAGGTCCAGCAGGGCAGCCCAGTGGTCAGCCAAGCAGGAGGTAAGGCTGGGGGCTCAGGCCCTAGGAGTCCTAGGGAAGGAGGAAGAAGGGGGGTCCTCATCAAGCATCATGGAGGTAGGCCCCCAGGACTCACCAGCCCCAGGTTGTAAGCCAGATGGTGTTCAAAGCCCCTAGCCTGGAGGGGCCCCAGGAGTGAATGGAGGCAGGTTTGGGTGGCCAACAGAGTCTAGGGTGCACGGCGCCCCGGGAGACAACACGAGGAGGGTTTGAGCAGCAGCGAGGTCGGAGGCTCCCGACGACTCACAAGGCACTGAGCCAGTGGCCCCTGTGACTTGGCTGCTGGAGGCCTCATCAGTGAACGACCTGGGAAAGGTGGTTTCAGGGAAGCAGTGGGCTCAGAGCTCGATGAGATAGGTCAGAACGGGCAGTGAGTGAGGAGGGTGAGAGAAGCAGAGATTTAAAACATCTCCTTGGAGTTCAGAGGCAGGGGAGCAGAGAACTGGAGGATTAGCAGAACGGAGAGCTGAATCAGAGGAGGGCTCTGTGGCTGGTTCACATGAATAAAAGCACTTTGCACCCTCAAAGCAGGAGACTACAAGTGGGGGCTGCTAAGGCCAAAAAGCTGGCACCCAGGGCAGAGAGGGACCAGACAGGTGAGCAGGGGTCACAGACATGAGAGGCTGGGCAGCAGGTGTGGTCTTCCCAGCTGGATTGTGTGTGGGCCTGTTGGCCAAGGTGACTGATCATCACGAGGCCGTCACTGTCATCGGGGCATGTGGGCACAGGGGCCATAGTGGGAGGAGGAGAGTGATCAGATCCCAACTGTGCTGTTTTAGGCGAAACAAATAAAAAGAAACAAAGACAATCCAAGACTTCAGGGCTGTGTGCACTGGCAGAGGGGGATTAAGAGTCTAGTTGGGGGATGTTAGATCGTCCGATGTCCAGGGAACATGAATTGGCCATTCCATAAAGACTTCAGTGAGGTCTCGCCGAAGAGTCTGACCAACCCTCAGAGGCTTCCAGAAAAAGCAACGGCTAAAGAGAACTCCAGGGGTGGGAGAGGGGAGCACCTGCTTGGCCAAAACTAAAAACCCGAAAGATCTTCCTGCTGTAAACTAGTGAACTCCTGGTGGAGATGTCCTTGCAATGCAGAGCCCAAGGCAAAGAGCAGGCCAGACCACCCAGCCCTGCTCAGTGCTGCCCCCTCCTCTGTCTGCCCTGAGAATGCCCAGCCAGAATGTGCGTTGAGGAGCTGGCACCTGGCCAGCATTTCCAGTAGGATCAAAGTACAAACTCCGTGCACAAATGGCAGGGCATACCAGGGAACACGCTGCCACGATCGACCCCATGGGCATCACCAGCAGAAGAACCAAGTTCCCCAAGGTTGGCTAGAGTTAGCTCAGTTGGGTATAAAATGGAATGGGATAAAAAGCAAGGAGCATGTGGAACGTGCTACAGAAAAGTGGTCAGGACACCTCCAAACCATCAGGTCATGGAAAACAAGGAGGCTGAGGAACTGTGCCAGATCAGAGGAGACTGAGAAGACACGGTGACTGAATGCAGTGTGGGATCATGGACCAGAAAAAGGACATCCGTGGAAAAACTGGCAAAATCCAAATAAGGCCTACAGTTAGTTCACAGCACTGTCCCAGCCTTGGTTTCCTAGTGTGACAAATACACTGTGGAGGTATAAGATGGTAACATTGAGGGAGGCTGGGTGAGGGCTACACCCGAGCTCCCTGTACTGTCTTTGCAACATCTCTGCCAATCTACAATTATCCGAAAATAAAAATCTTACTGAGAAAAACAAAAGGCGTGAAAAACCATCACAAATGACGTTGGATGTCATTTTACGTTGCCGGGGCCCTCGTAACAAAGTACCACACGTTGGGGGAGCTTTAAAACAACAGAAATTTATCCCTCACGGTTCTGGAGACCAGAAGTCTAAAATTGCCAGCAGGGCCGTGCTCCCTCTGACGTCTCTAGCAGAGGATCCTTCCTTGTCTCTTCCAGCTTCTGGGGATTCCAGGTGTTTCTCCGCATCACCCCAATCTCCATTTTCTGTCTTCGCATGACCTTCTCCTCTCTGGCTCTTCTCTCTTGTAAGGACACTTGTCCTTGGATTTAGGGCCCACCCTAAAGCCAGGATGAGGTCATCCCAGATCCCTTCACTTACATCTGCAGAGACCTTCTTTCCCAAATAAAGTCACATTCACAGGTGCCAGAGATTAGGATGTGGACGTACCTTTTTGGGGACCACTCCTCGCCCTGCTGTGCATGTTAAGACTCGTACAATTAGATACAGCTGAAGAGAGAATCGCTAACTGAAAAGCTGTGAACAAGTGGCCCAGAAGACAGTGAAAACAGTTGGAAAATATGACAGCTAGAATTCTAAGAATCGCCTGGGCTGGCTGAATTCTCACAGGAGAACAGAGAGAGACCGTATGAGAAGATGTAACGTGGAGCATTTTCCAGATGTAAAGATGTAAATCATAAAGAGGACAAGTAAAAAGACATCCAGGCCCCAAACACACCACAGTGAAAAATGCAAAACAGCCCCAGAAAAGATGGCCAATGAACCGTAACACTAACAGCAGCGAGGGACGCTGGACGACCGTGGAGAAAACTAGCATGTCAAGTCCTGAAGCAACTGGGAATTTCACACGAATTTTTTTTTTTTTTTTTTTTTTTT